AAATCTTGCCTGATGTTAAGCCAGTCCCCCAAAATAACAGGCTGCTATCAAATTATGGGAAGTTTTCTGCTTGTGGGTTTTAATGACTCTTTAGAGCTTTAAGACTTGTGGGCTTCAACTCCCAGAATTCTCCTTCCGGTCATGTTAACTCAGGAATTCTGGGAGTTGAAGTCCACAAGTCTTAAACTTGCCAAGTTCGAAGACCCTTGCTCTAGAGCAGAGGTGGGCAATTATGGCCCCTTTACAACTTGTGGACTTCAACTCCCAGAATTCCTGAGACGGCATAATCATGGCAATTCCTGGGCATGGCTGGGACAGGAATTCTGGGAGCTGAAGTCCACAGGTTGTAAAGGGGCCATTGTGGCCCACCCCTGTTCTAAAATGAGGATGTACCAATCAAAAGGCTTCCAGGTCTCTCCCACAATAGGTCTCTGTACATGACTTTGGCTTTCACTTTTGAAGGCAGTGCAAATTCCCACATGCCCTCTTGCACGCAAGTGTGTCCTAGGTTGGGTGGGAGAACACTAAACACCTCTGTCCCAATTTCCTCCAATAGTTTCCCACAAACAGACTCAGAAAGCAAGCGTAGAAATCATAAAAAACGTCGGACACTGAGCAAGCGTAGTGGCAAAGAAAATTGCAGTCAGCAATCTCGTCCAGAGTCAGGCGAAGGAAGGAAAGGGATGTACAGAAACCAGGGATCAAACGGGTACAGGCAGTCTTTGGGCTTACGACTTCAATGGAACCCAGAGTTTGTAGAGATTCTCAGTCCTCCAAATCATGGTTGTCCCAAAGGTGCTTTTTTTGAATGAATGAATGAATGAATGAATGAATGCTTTATTGGCCAAATGTGATTAGACACACAAGGAATTTGTCTTGGTGCATGGTGCTCTCAGTGTACATAAAAAGAAAAGATACATTTGGTAAAGAATCATAAGGTACAACACTTAGTGATAGTCATAGGATACTAATAAGCAATCAAATCATACTAGGAAACAATAAAAACAATATAAATTATACAAGCAACACGGTTATAGTCATAAGTAGGAAGAGATACATAATAGGAAGGATGAGAAGAATAGTAATACAGTCTTCGTAGTTAATTTGACAGTGTTGAGGGAATTATTTGTTTAGCAGAGTGATGGCTTTCGGGAAAAAACTGTTTTTGTGTCTAGTTGTTCTGGGGTGCAGTGCTCTATAGCGTCGTTTTGAGGGAAGGAGTTGAAACAGTTTATGACCGGGATGTGAGGGGTCTGTAGATATTTTCACAGCCCGCTTTTTGACTCGTGTGGTATACAGGTCCTCGATGGAAGGCAGGTTGGTAGTAATTGTTTTTTCAACTGGACTTTCTGGTTTTTCTTTGAAGACCTTTCGCTTCTCCTCCAAGAAGCTTCTTCAGCTCTGACTGGATGGTGGGGAAGGGAAGGATTTATATTCCTTGCAGACAGCTGGTCATTTGCCTCCTTGTCGAGGGTTGTTGAAGTACCTCGAGGTTTATCTGTGATCTGCTTCAAAGACCAGCTATCAGCAAGGAGTATAAATCCTTCCATTCCCCACCGTCCAGTATGAGCTGAAGAAGCTTCTTGGATGAGAAGCGAAACGTCTTCAAAAGAAAAAAACAAGAAAGTCCAGTTGCCTCCTGAAAAAATAGCACCTTTGGGACAACGGAACCCAAAATTTCTGTTTGCCGAGCGAGACATTTGTTAAGTGAGTTTTGCCCCATTTTTACGACCTTCCTTGCCATGGTTGTTAAGTGAATCACTTCAGTGGATAAGTGATTCACCCGGTTATTAAGTGAATCTGGCTTCCCCACTGACTTTGCTTGTCAGGTCGCAAAAGGGGATCGTGGGACCCCAAGAGGACTCTGCAACCGTCATAACTATGAATCAGTTGCCAGAGGCCTGAATGACGATCCTGTGGGGATGCTGCAATGGTCATACGTGTGAAAAACGGCCACGAGCCACTTTTTTTCAGTGCCGTTAAGTGTGCTGATTCACTTAATAACCACGGCAAGAAAAATGGGGCAAAACTCAGTTAACAGATGTTTCACTTAGCAACAGAAATTTTGGGCTCAGTTGTGGCCCAAAAGTCAAGGATTACCTGTGTTAAGGCAAGCCATCCTTTAATATCCTGTTGGAAGTTAAATCCCACCCCTCTCCTAGGAAAATGAAATATTTTAGGATATACTAAAAAGGCAGAATGTTTCCCCTAAAAAGTAGAAACTGAGGCAGAAACTCAGCCCCTCCCACCTTTGCTAATGGACCATTAAGGCCTGGGCTAGTCTAGTTTACATAACAAAGATCTACCCCAGGTAGAGCTATAATAGGAATTGCCCAAAGCTCTTTCCTTACATCATCATCCAGCAAGGTTCAACCAAGCCTGGGACTCAGGACAGTCTACAGCTGTGATGGCGAACCTATGACACGCATGCCATAGGTGGCGCGCGGAGCCATTTGTGCCAGCACGCGAGCTGCAGGCAAACGTACCTCACTGGGCATGCGCGCGCCTCACAGCTGATTTTCGACCAGTTTGAGGCCTTTTTCGGCCTCCCAAATGCTTGAGGAAGGCTTCTGCAGGCCGAAAACTAGCCCCGTTTCATCACTTCCTGTTTTTCCGAAAATACCGGAAGTGACGAAACGGGGCTAGTTTTCGGCCTGCAAAGCCTGCAGGAGCCTTCCTCAAGCCTTTGGGAGGCCAAAAAAGGCCTCAAACTGGCCAAAGATTAGCTGTGAGGGGCAGTGCAGGTAAGGAGGCGATGGGGGTGGGTGGGTGGGGATTAAGCGCGCATGCGTAGGGGGCACGAGGGGCGGCGCATTGCCTTCTGGATGCTGGCACGTGAGTGCGAGCGTGCACACAATTTTTGGCACAGGAGCCCTAAAAGGTTAGCCTACGGAGTTGCCCCTGCATGGCCCCATGGGAGTCTGACAACCAATCAGAATACAAGCTCAAATTCAAATCCCAACAGAGGGCATAAAACCCAGGGATTCTTAGCATCTCTTCCCTTCCCTTCTTTTCCTTCACCCAACATCTTGAAGCATGTGATCGTCCTTTCCACTTTGGAGCTCCAAGCCGTGTGGTCCTGTCTACCATTAAACCATCTTTCCAAACAGCCTCCATGTTTCCAGTGTCTTTTCCCCCTCTTGGAACTGAACCCAGAAGGATGTTTCTTCCAACAATCCTATAGCGAAGTCACATTAAGCCCAAAAGGGAATCCTGCCAAAACCTCCTTGAATTCTCTGCTCCTCCAAGGCGATAAAATGTGAAATATATTATTTCCCAAGTGCCCCTTTTTCTCAGCATTTTCTATTACTTCATATTAATTGATTGCTATCATGTGATTGACCGTCCTAAAGCTGAGCTGCATGGCTAAAGCTAGAGGAATCACTAGAGATCATTTATCAGGTCATGGATGATTTAAATCGGTGGGGACCTGAAAGTAAACATTTTAAGCAGCCCAAGGACATCCCGAGGCTAAAAAATAACCCTAAAAATAAAAAAAGTATAGGAGTTGATGAACTCTTTTCTTCCTAAAGGGAACTTCCACAGAGCCTGGAAAATAGGAGAATCCTTTTCATTTTTCCCAGGCAGAAATGTGAATAAATTTTGACTTCATTTTACAACTTGCAAAGAAATGCATCCTCCAAGATTTAAGAGACCACTCGATCCAGTTTTGTTTTAAAAATTTTAATGTTTACTGAAGTCACTTTATTTTTTATTAAAAAGTGTACAGCGAGGCTCTTCCCCCACTTTTAGACTGGTGTGAGATCTCCCGCCATCAACTGCCCTGCCAAGATCTCTTCTTGATCCCACGTGCTGCACAGAGACATTCGATTACTCGATGGACAGGATGAAATGGGGGCTGGGATGGTTAGGATACAGGTTAGGATACAGTACAAAAGACAGTTGGGGGGGAGACCAACATGACAGATAAATCAGATACTAAAAACACACAGCCAAGTTTTCAGTAACATGTTTATAAGGGAATTTCCCCAGAGCATTAAGTGAAGGGAAAAAAACCTGTTCAAAAAAACTCTTTAGGGATTTAGAGTTTAGAGATCTCTAAACTTGGCAACTTTAAGACTGGTGGATTTCAACTCCCAGAATTCTTCAGCCAGCTATGTCCACAAGTCTTAAAGTTGCCAAGTTTGGAGACCTCTGCTTTAGGGATTCAACCACAGGTAGTCCTTGACTTACAACCATTCAGTGACGGTTTGGAGTTGCCATGGCAGTGAAAAAGGCAACTTATGACCATTTCCCACACTTATGACCTTTGCAGCAGTCATAAAATCAAAATCTGGACGCTTGGCAAACTTTGCAGTGTCCCATTGGGGGTCATATAATCAAAATCCAGAAGCTCGGATGCCTGGCTCACATTTATCACGGTCGGTGTCCTGGGATCAAGGTGATCCCCTTTTGAGATCTTCCGGCCAGCAAAGTCATCGGGGAAGCTGGATTCCACCTCCTAACGACTGTCTCACTCACTTAATAACTTGCACTGAAGAACTCTGGGAGGAAAGGTCGTAAAAAATGGGGCATAAGCTCACCGAACAAGCGTGTTGTGGTTCGCCGGCAGCAGGACTCCGATGAGGGGCCTGTGTGTGATGCAGGGATGGGGCCAGGACCATCAGGGAGTGGAGTGCTGCTTTCGTAGATTGTGGCAGCAGTGAGGAAGAGGCCCCCGAGGAGCCTGTGCCAAGCACGTGCGCGCGCAGGGCTGCTTGAAGGAAAGAACAGCTGCAGCAGCACGGGCGACTCAGGAGTAAGGCTGCAAGGTAATGGCCCCTCTCTGAGGAGATAAAAGCCAGCTGAGAAACCGGAGTTCTTTGCAGGAAGCAAAGACATTTTTGCACTCAAGCCTTGTGGATGTTCGGAATATCTTAGTTTGTGTTTGGGGACTCTTTGTGTTTGAGATATTTCTTGGCAACTTTATCTGGTGTTCTTGGCAGCCTTGCACCACCTTGGCAAGGTTCGTTCTCATCAGAGACAATTAATTTGAAACAGCCTTTTAACCGGGAAGGAACGGAATTCGTAAAGAATCATTAAAAGGTTTTGCTGTTACCTCTGTTTCGTGTTTGTTTCCTTGGACCAAGGTTTGGGTCAGGACACATCCTCAATGGTCAGTGTCTTTGCTTAGCCGTGGGAATTTTGGGGCTCATGCACAGGCCATAAATCGAAGACTACCTTATGACGGCTTTCAACGCTGTCCGTGCCAGGATGGGACGAGATCGGGACGCAGGGAAAGAGCTTGCAAGGGGCCTTTTGAGGGGTGGGGGGGAAACGGAGCCCCCCTGTGCTCTGGCTCACCTCCTTGGCCAAGAGGGGAAGAAAGACTGGCCAGGACTGATTTAACCCCTTTATTCAAGGGAAGGAAGGAGAGGCTGGCCTCCCTCCCTCCCTCACACATAGGGCTGCTGCTCTTACGAGTTTTCTGCAGGGTATGAGTGCCCAGAGGGGCTGCTTTAAAAACACAAAAAACTTGGGGGGGAAAAAGGCATTAGAAGAAAAAAAAAAGAAGAGCCTGAATGGGAAAGTTTCTTAGGAAAGCAGGCTGGGGGGGGGAGGGGCGAGTATGGCTACCTTATTCCCCAGAACCCAAGACTGGTCCAATGCAGGACTGCGGGGTGTGTGTGTGTGTGTGTGTGTGTGTTGTGCGTGGGGAGCTTTTCAGTGGCACAAGGAGGCCACTGGTGCCAGCAACGTGGGGATCCCGAGGGCTGGTGTCATGCACAAAGCAGGAGGGGAGGGGGGGGGGAATGGCAGCAACTCCACAATCCGAGACTTGCCGCGTTCTTCCAAACCACCCAAAAACGTGGACAGCTTGGGAAGCGGCCTTGCAGCCCCTCCCCCCCCCGCACCCGCCGAGAAACGGGCAACGGGAACATGCCCGAGTTAAACCGCCTGCTGCCCGGAGCTGCCCGGGACCTCAGGTCACCTATCGACTACTGCAGTGGGAGAGAAAGGCCCCCGGAGAGGCCACGCTGGGGACGGCTGGGTTTGGAGGAGTTGGTCTCAGCCCGACCGCTTCAGGGTTTCATGTTGCTCAGGCGGATATCTCGCTCGTGCTCGAACTGACGGTAGTCCACTCTTTCCAGGAAGGCTCGTCTCTCCAGGTACCTGCGGGGAGGGAGCACAGAGTCAGCTCCCCAGAGAGGGAAGAGGGGCAGATTTCGGATGGGCTGGGAGGCAGGATAGCTAGAAAAGAGGACACTGCCCCCTCCTGGTTCTATTTGCCTGCCTTCCTCCTGGAGTTCCTTGCACCAGGAAGGTAGGCAGGTAGGTAGGTAGATAGATAGAGATAGATAGATATAGACAGAGAGAGATAGAAAGAGATAGCTAGATAGATACGAGGTAGCTAAATAGATACGAGATAGCTAGATTGATAGATCGATAGCTATAGATAGATCGATATAGATAGATTGAGATAGAGATAGAGACGGATAGCTAGATAGATATAGCTAAATAGATAATATAGATCGATAGCTAGCTAGCTATAGATAGATCGACAGATAGATA